TTTTGATTTTTTTGTATAAATTATAAACTTTTAATTTTTTAATAATTTTTAAATTTTTAAACTAAAAGACTCGGATGCTAAACTAGACCTAAGGCCTCGTTTGGCAACAGACCGGTTTAGTCAAAAAGTCAAAAAGTTACTAAAAAAGTCAAAAAGCTAACAATCCATACCAAAAAGTTAAAGATTCTCTTTTCTCTCTACTTTTTGTACATTTTTTCGTAAAAAATTAAAAAGTCATTCCAAACATATTAATTTTTTTTAACTCATATTTTAACTAAATAACCAAAAAATTACTAAATTAACATGTTCCCCAACGAAGTTTAGGCCAAGTTTGGCATCCACCAAAAAATTCAAAAAGTCAAAAAGTCATTATCCTATTTAAGTCACATCATCTTATTTAAGTCACATCACCTCTCTAACACATCACTTCAAACCCAACCCAAATCCAACTCATATTTCATAAAAAGTCAAAAAATACACTTATTTAGTCTTCCCAAACTTGACCTAAATATCACCCAAGTTACCAATTGCTTCCTGTTAAAAAAAGTTGCCAATTGCTTTGAGAAAAGACACATGAAAAGTTAGTGATTTATCATGAAAATTTTCACAAAGGAATAGTGTAATAATTACAACAACAACAACCAAAAAAAGAAAAAAAAAAAAGTTGATGATTCTTGATTTTATTTTCTTTATTTTTATGTTTTTTGCGTTCCTCCAACACAAAAGTCTTGATACGTTGGCGGATTTCATTATATTATATACTAGAGTCAAAAGGACTTGATTTTCCCAATTGGACAAGACTAGGGGGCACCTTCTTGGCCCTTTTTGTAAAGCTCAATCTAATTTTTGATTTTCCGATGAGCAAATACCAAAATAACCACAACGTATTTTTACCCTTAAATTGTGTTTGGATAATTAATTTGAGTAGAATTGAGAAAGAAAAATAACATAGTGAGAGAAATGTAGCTTATATTTAATTTTATTTGTTCCCACACGATAGCGGTTAGTATATTAGTGTAGTTAAATTATAACACATCTTCATAAATTCGAACATGAAATTTTACTCACCTTGACACCTAAATGCTCTCTCCATGATTGCTTGGGCAATCGCCTAAGGTCAAATTTAACTTATATTTTATTTATATATTTTTTTTCACATTTTCCTTTCTATTTCTAAATTTATAATCAAAACACAACTTAACAGTCTTCTATGTTTATGAATAATTTTAAGTACAATTAAAATTTATGCACAATTTTACCGGGAAATTGAACTGAAGGCATGAAGTTATGACTCATATGTAAAATAAATCTTACTTATATATTTAAATTTTGAATAAATTTTGTTTTTTTTTTATCAACAAATGTTAGTTGTTAGTTGTTAAATTAGCACCAATAAGAGAAGATGTGTAGAGAGAATGCTAAATTTGAGTTAGAATTTTAGAGAAAAGAAAGCTTTGAAAACTAGAGAGTTGTCTTGCCAAACTAGTGAAGTTACCAAGCCTCTATATGTCTTATCATCCCTTGCCAAAACCACTTAAGAACCAAGTCCTAAGCCTTGATCAAAGAGAGAGTATTCTTGCCAAGTAAAGAGTGATCATACACTTGATCAAAACCATCATTCTAAGCTCAAATTTCAAGATCTGGAATTGAGGATTAAGATCATAATTCACAACCTTGAGGGTGATTAAGGAAGTTTGGAAATCAATAGGTTTACTCTTTTTCTGGAAGATGAATTTTCAATTCTTTCATTTCCATCTCAAATTCATTTTCTTACTTTTGTTTCATATTGTTTTGTTGTAATCTAACCGGAAGCAGTTAGTTTTCAATTCTTTCATTTTCTTGCTTTTCTATCTCATATTCATTTTTTTTTTTTTTTTTGGGTTTTTTTTCGTTTTTAATGAATTTTTTAAATTCAAATCAACAAAACAAACCGAAAAATTGTATTTTTAAAAAAGAAATCCAAAAAAAAAAGAGCAAAAGAAAGTAATCTTTTTTTGCTTATTTTCGTCTTTATTGATTTTTTTTTGAATTGTTTTTTAAAAAACATACTTTTTAGATTCATCTAGACAAGATGAACTAGACAAGATGAACTGAAAAAGTGAAAAAATTTAACATAATTTAAAAAAAAAACACTAAAGGCAAAAAAAATTTAAAAAAGAGGTAGTTATTTTTTTTTTGTTGCCAAAATGAGCCTACGTATATTTGAACTTAATATGGACCTCTAATATGTGCTCATGGGTCGGATTTTTAGACCGGGTATCGTATTGTTTATTTGACCTAAGTCTATCTCATATATTTTAAGGCGAATCAGCTTATGAATCATGAACTTTTCTATAAGACTTATGTTACAGCGGTAAAAATTATATAATTTAATGTATAAGTCTTCTTAACTTGTGACCTAAGTAACGCGTGAACCCGGACCATAGAAATTATTGAAAAAGTTGAGGTGAAAATTGAGAGTATGAAAGTTTGTGGGTGGACAACGAGAGAATCATACCCTAGTTTTCCAAGAACTCTCTTCGGCCATTTTCTTTACCCTCGTGGAAGGGGGGAATGGAGTGGAAGAGTATCTCTAAATTGGAAAACTTATCAATAAGTCGCATATATAAAGTTCAAGATTTATCTAATTCTCAAACAAAACATTTGCATCAATTAGTTATATATATATTTTTAATTGTTATCAAAAAATTCTTTCTTTTTTTTTTTAATTTACAGACATTGTTACATCCTAATACCGTCAGACTTCTATCAAACGGTCACCGGAGAGTCGTTGGAATGTTCAACATCACCAGGGAGTCGCCGGAGTATCGCCGGAAGTTCACCGGAGTGTTAAGAATGTTAATGGAAGTTGCCGGAATGTTCAGAACGTTCACTGGACGTTAAGAAGGAGACTCACCAGAATGTCTAGAATATTGTCGGGAAAAAAAAAAGAATAAATGGAGAAATTAGAGTGAAAAAATATAATAAAATGTGCTAAATATTGATAAACTAAAAGGAAAGAAAAAATGGAACGTCAAAAAACAGCAAGAATGGGAAAAACATATGCTATTTTTAAATTTTTGTAAGGTTTAAGCAAATAATCTCCAATATTGATCAAACTGAAAAATAAGTTTTGAAACTGTAAAATATTACAGTTTCAAAGCAAAAATCTATTAAGCATTTATCCTTATTAATCAAACTGAAAAAACACGTTATGAAACTGTAAAATTTTACAGTTCTAAAGAATGTTATGAAACTGTAAAATTTTACAGTTTTAAACCATGATTCATTCCAGCACCAAAAAAATTTGAAACTGCAAAATTTTACAGTTTTCACTGCCTGTAACTAAAACTCAAAAACAACTTATTCAGAACTTGAAATTTTTCTCCATTAGAACAAAAAAAGAGAAGTGTATAGTAGAAAAAATGTAGAAAAAAAATAAGAGATCGAAGGAGAAAGGCGGATATAGAGAAATGATTGTACTCCGACAACTATTTTTTATTTAGATCTAGCCAAATCTGATGTAGATCTACTCATCTTCTTCGTCAGAAACATATCTTTTTTACCGTCGGTGAGGGTGAAGTAAGGAGTCGACGGTTGGTGGTTGCTGGTGAATCTTAATTGATGGTAGTCGTCTGTCGTCGATGACTGTATATCGGAAAGAGAAAGAGAAGAAGCAAGATATGGTTACCCGTCAACGATCGCCGGAAATCACAAATAGCAAAAGAGGCAGAGAAGACGAGAGTCAGAGAAAAAGAATAACGTTATAGGACTTTTGAGTATAAACAAAAGGTTATGGGACTAAATAGACTATACGTTTTTCAAAAAAGACTTCTTGGTAATTTTCCCATTTAAATTTTAGGATACTTACGTGTAGATCCTAATAAGTGAACTTATTATCTAATAAGTCCTATTGGAAAGTTTTGTCAAAAAAAATGTCACTAATTGTAAGTTTTAACGACAATTTATAAAAATCATGACAAAAAAAGTCATTAATTATCAATTTTTAGTGACGTGTGTAAAAAATTGTCACAAAAAAATATTTTTAACAACAATTTTTTCAAGACTTATTTTCAATAGGACTTGATAGGAATTAAGTCTAACTATTAGGACCTATTAATAGTTTACTCTAAATTTTATTTTAAAATATTATTAAAAAATTTATTTTTTATTTTAAGAATTATTTTTTCATTTATTTCTTTCAATAAATTCTCTATTCTTTTCTTCATTCTACTAAAATAATAAATTTAATTGTTTTTAAATTTGAATTTTTTTGTAATAATAAAATAATGAAAACACATCTAAATCAAACATCAATCGGCAGCAACAAAGCAGTAGAGGAAAACAAAGCAAGGTAGTCGACCGGTCAGGCCAATTTTGGACATTTTTCTTCTTCAACTACAAGGCACTCACACGACATCTGATGGGGGACATCTAGCTGGGCAACTCTCCAGTTTTCTTGCACGCCTTCAACAAATAAAATAACAATTTATCAGATACGAGGGAGCTACAGTGACTCCCCTATAGCAACACTTATATTTGGAGAATTGGATAAGGGAACTGTTGGGGTTGTATTTTGACAAAAAAAAACTCCTTATTTTGGCTAAGAAGGTAATATAAGAGAGCTGTTGCGGATGCTCTTATGGTTGTGGGTCTCACTCATAGCTTGTTTGGTGATTATTTGGGACGAGGGAGTAATAGTCCGAGGGAATTAGTAATCTCCCTCAGTAAGGAGATTAGCTTAGTTAAATTTTGAGTGAGATTAGAAAAATAGTGAGACAATTGAGTCTATTTTATATAAATAAAAAATAAAAAAATTTACGAAATGCATTAGTTTGTTTTAATATTTGTTTTAGTTCTTTTAATATAAAAATAATTTAACAATGTCATTGCTAATCATTTTTCACACTATAATCATAACAAATATACTTTTACTATATTTCCTCACTAATAATTTTACGTTAACAATATTTTCGCTAATCATCCTCTTACTAACAATCTTATCAAACTTAATCGGCCAAACAAACTGGCCTAGTCTTCCCCCCTCTCTCCCTCAGCCTCTCCCTATATATAACCCATTTCTCTTCCTTCTTTCCCTCCAACTCTCTCTCTCTATCAAAGATTCAAGCTTGCGCTGCAAGACAACACGGTACGCCTTCAATTCTTTACAGCTTCATTGCATTCTCTCTCTCTCTCTCTCTGAGACAAACACAAAAACACACAGTTCCTCTGTTTGTGACTGGAATTCACTGTATATTTGATGTAGAACAAAATTCTACAATTTTTATATTTCTTAATTTTATTATTTTGAAATTAAATTTTGACAAGGATTTTAATTAGTTAGAATTTTAATTTTCTATTCTCTTAGGTCCTAATTTGTGTTGATTTAAGTTTCCTGATTTATTTTAAAATTACTTTTCTTACAACGATTAAGTTTAGTTTATTATAAATAAGCTTATGAGCCTATGTAATGGATTCATTCAATCAATAATATTTTAAAGAATTTTTCTTCTATCTTTCTTGTAAATTCAAGGGTGTTCTTGTAGATTTAAGAATTCTTGCCTACTAGAACGATATCTAATCTCGTGTGATTTATTCCGCTGTGTCAATATTCAATGTCAATGTATCTTAGCTTAATTTTTGATTGATGAAATTTCAAAGGCTAATATATTTGAGCAGTATTTCCTGAGGACACCTTACAATGACTGTTCTTCTCATACTTGATTTTGTGAATGTGTTTTGTTTTTAATCGACCATGCAAAGAATTTGTCAAACTCTATTTGATTTTTGGGTTTTTTTTTCAAGCGTATGTTAGCATAGCTAAGAGGTTTTGCTAAAGAGAGAAAACACTTTAAAAAACAGTTTTATGTTTCTCTACGGCAGTATTATTCTTTGTAGTCCTACATTAATAGGAAACAATTTGGTCCACTGAAAGGACCATAACGCCCTTGCACAATTAACCATGCATTGCACAACACTGAAGCCTACAAACATTAAAAAAAACAAAATGTTTATGTGTATAGAAGGAACTAGACACAAAATATCCCGACGTGAGACAAATGTTCATAACTATAGATGCAAACATATTTGCAAATATAGATGTGGATAGTTTTTGTTCACATCTATGTATTCTGCGTCCGATTATTTCTCTACACATAGCATGCCTATAAAAAAAATAATAAATAATCTAGAAAAGTGGAAGTAGTGCATTCATTTTCAATGAGGCTCGCACGCCATCTAGATGAATTTTTGTGTTTGTGGCATTACTATAGAGAAGCCATATATGTTGGTTTTTTCATGATTTTTATCTAGAGATGGTGTCATATAAGGGCATCTCCAATGGTGTATCAATTTTTTTGCCAAATTTGAGTAAAAATTTGAGGAAAAGCTCTCTTTGATATCAAGTGCTCAAACGGAGGGTTTTACGGCTTCGTCAGACCACCGGTTGACCGGGCGGATATCCGGCCAGTGCAAAGTTTTTATAATTTTTCTTCTTGAGGTGGTCATCCAAGGGGTCAACCGGGTGGTCGACCAGCCAATGTAATTTTTTCACAAAAACCTTGAGGTGGTCATCCGGGAGGACATCCGAGGGGACGTCCAATGGTGAAAATCCAACGGCATTAAATAGTGATTTAATGAAAGTCACATTCGTCCTTCGTTTGATGAAAGAAAAGTGAAATTCTGGATTTGATACCGATTAGATGAAACCGTTGGAGCTGAAAAAGGAACCATTTTTCATCAAATTCAAATTTAATGATAAGTTTGATACATGGTTGGAGATGGTCCAAGTAAGTGATAATTGGCCGAAAAAGCTAAAAATTTGAAGATGATGCATATGCCCATTTATTCGAACAGTTTTGCTTCATACACAAAATCTGTGCCAAAAATTTGTGCATTTTCAATTCTGTGCACTTAGTTGTTTGTTATTCAAATTAATGAAAATCAAATGTGTTATTTCTTTCTTACCTGCCATTGCACTATAACATACATTAATTTAAATTAGCTTGTTTTAATGAGTGTTCTTAGGACATTGGTCAACAATGGATTAAATGAATGCCCATTTATGAGGGAATTTTCAATAATTTTAAATGTCAGACTTTTGTTATTGAGTGTTCTAAGGATGAATGCCCATTTCTCATCTACCTAATTTTTTGAGGAAATTTTCAACAATTTTAAATGTTAGGCTTTTGTTATTGAGTGTTCTAAGGACATTGGTTCACAACGGATTATATGAATGCCCATTTGTCATCTACCTACTTTTATCAGGGTATGTGTGATTGAGTGCCTTAACAAGATCTATATATACAATGTTTCATATTCCAGCTCTGTATAAATTAGGTGCCCTGAAACTTTAAATCACTTTCCCATCATAGATAGATCCTGTCAAGATCCTTTGATTATTTAAACTACAAAAGGGGGCAAAAAGATGCATATTAAAATGACACAATTCACACAACACAGGCCCACTAGTTCCTTTCAATGTTTGCATTTTGTAGAGGAAGTAGGAGACACGCTTCAACTTCTTCACAAGAAGTACTGTCCAATTCACGTACCACAAATATTCCTCTGTTTTAGTTGGCAGTACATGAGTGTGTGATTAATAGACACCTCCACCACTATAGCCATAACCAGCAGGCATGCCTCGTGCTTATGTAGTTGGTGTTTCTGAGGTTAACAACTACTCTAGGAGGAATGTTTTTATGCAATGCTAACAATTTAAATCTAAAGGAACTAGATTGGAAAAAATAGGGATTCTAATTGTAATATCTAATGAAACCGTAGCTAGAATTGACTTTGACGTTGAGATATGTTGCTTTGAGATAGGATCATTTGGGGGAGCTAGAGTGGGACATGCCATTTGATACAACCTGATTTTCATTTGTCTGTTGCAGACTTGAAACATCATTTCACTAACCTTCTCAAGCTTGGTTTATATAGTTTAGAGGTCCCTCCACCCATTGGCAATTAGTTTTGAGTTTGATGCCTCTAAATTCATAGCAGTTAATGTTTGCTAGCTTGGTCTAATATTGTCAGTTTTGATGTTTCCAAGTTTGGTTTGGGATGTCTTTGGGAAGTAGATTATGGATCACTTTGATTTGGGTTAACTCATAGTTTTGTATTACAAGCTTCATTTCCGTATGCTGATCTCATGTGTTTGAACATTAACTTACAATAACATGTGTCCCTAAAAGCTTGAGAACTCAATTAGTCTCTGGTCTCAATAGTTGTTTTTCTTTTTCTGTTTATGTTTTTTGTGTGTTCCTGTTAAAGAAAGTGGACATTTCATGGAGATTGTATTTGGGTCCATATTTAGCCCTTTTTATTTATTTTATTTATTATTTTAAGAACACCAAAATAATCTTCCATTTCACTTCGTGCTTTCCTATGTACTTCGATGTCTAAGTCCTTGTCAAATGTTTAAATGCAAAAACTTTGTGTCTTTGCAAGTCAACTCATAGATGGGGAAGAAACTTGGTTATTTCTTTTTTATATAAAAATGACTTTTACCTAAATTTTATTGGTTTTGATTGGGATTATTATATTTCACTAGTGGTTATGGTAATTGCATAATTTGATGTTGATTTGTTTGTTTTTGCCAATTAACTAGTATGGTTCAACATTTCTGAATTGTTAAGGCATGTTTGGTGGTCATTTGCTTGGAAAACAACATTAAAAATTAATATATTATGAAATAGTATAATCCAAACTTAAGAATTTAGTGAAAATTATAGAAGCAAAGTAATGATCGTACAAGCATAATTAAAGTTCATGAGTTTAATCCAAGAAAGTTTTAAAAAACATATATTCCTAGGCCATATCAATATCAAGACGGTTACACATGTCCTAAGAAGCAAAGACACGGACATGTGACACGACATAAATACAAAAGTGTAGGATACGACATATGAGAGACATGTGTAAAATATATATATAATTTATATATTTATTATATGTCATATATATATGAAAATTTAAGTCAAAGATAATAATTTTTAAAGTTTAAGGGAGAAGAATTTATATAAATTTACATTGTTGTCGTCTTATCATTGGATTCCTATTTAATTTATTCAAATTTATTATGTGTTTTATGTGTGCCAAGTGTTGGAAAGTGTCCTATGAGTGGTGTGGAGTGGAGTGGAGTGGAGTGTCGGTGTCGGTGTCTGTGTCTGTGTCTGTGTTAGAAATGACATGTTCTCTTCTTAGAAGTGTCTATGTTTTTCCAAGAATGTTGAACCCCCGAATCTTATAGCATAGTTGCAACAAAATTGTAAAACCTGTACTTTATCCTGATATTCATGCCGCTGCAATTGTTACAGCAGATGGCAAATCGCACTGCCATGAAAAACCACAAAGAATTGATAATTAGATTACCAAAAACTAAAGTATGATCTAGGTAATTTGCTGGCATTCTTCATGCTACACTATGGCAGATGCACTCACCACCCTCTCGATATCAATGATTTTCCCAAGTACTCAAAAAACATGGCTTAGTTTGAATACTAAAAATATCGAGCAAAAAAGTTCCATCCCAACTATCAACTGTTGTTGCCTGCCTTGTTAATTGTCAATATTCCTGATCGCTTGATAATGTAGATGACATTTGTAAGGCATTGATAGTAACGTGTAAAGTCTCAGGCTGTTATATTGGCAATTAATATAATCAGATAGTTTGCAGCTGTGGTTACCTCGATTTTCCCAATGCTAGCACCAGTATTCTGTGTTTCTTACGAACATTTTAAATGATGTTTAACAGATTTTCCAAATTAGATGCTAAAATAAAATAAAATAAAATGCCCATCCAATAACTACTAAAATAAGTCTTGTCCATGTCCTATTAATTATGCCCTTCGAAATATATTTATTAGTTTGCAACCTCCATGTCCTTTATTGAGGTCATTAGGTAGAGATACTTAACATGATAATGCAAAATTCAGGAATATAAAAAATAAATAATAATAATAATAATAATGGTAATAAATTATATATATATATAGCTTTCCTTGTCAGTTTTCTGGCAATGAAAGGCAAGAATGAAGCTGGCTAACCCATAATGTAGGACAAAACAAATAATGCAGAATTAGAAAAATGCTGCAAAGCCCGTATCAGCACAGACAATGAACCTGTTAGACAGTTTCCAAGAAATGGATTTCAGTCTGTTTCAAAGAAATCAGGTGCCCTATTGATATTGGAAAAAGAGAATTGCTGCTTTTAGATCATAAAGTTCCACTATATATATGTATATATATATATATATTTTTTTTGGGGGGGTGGACTTTTTACCAACAAATAGCCCTTCTCTCGCTCTCTCTTTATTTTGTTTATATAAATCATCACGGGCAGATGAACTAATTTGATTATTATGACACTTGCCTTCTGGTTTCCTCTTGATTTGCCTTTTTGTTTGAGAGTGGTTTCTATGTGACACTGATGACATTAATGTTGCGTTTGGTTAGAGGATTTGGGAAGAGATTTGGAAAGGAAAAATGAAAGTGGATTTGGGAAGAAATTTAGAAAGGGAAATGAAAAAGGTGTGTGAAATGTAGGTATATTTTATTCACATTTCACCTAATTTTTCTCTTTTCATTTCCAAATTCTTTCCCAAATCTCCAAACAAACACAACAAAAGCGACAGCCAAGGCCTAGTTAGTAGTGTAGGTAGAAGTCAATTTAACCTTTTGCTATTCTCTCTCTTCAACACATCACAGATCAAATTGAATATTTTAACATTGAGTATGAAATGTAGTTCGACACATCACATGAAGCTACTGGAATGAATAAACTAAGTAATACAAAATTCTGCCCATTATGTTGATATATAATATGTCAATATTTCTAGACAATGATTGATGTTTGCTTCAAGAATCTAAAATTTAGTTGGCAGCATAAGTTATATGTGGTTAAGTAGTGGTTGAATGCAGACAAATACAGTACCGTTAATCAACTTGAATTTCGCATCTGAACCTTTGCCCAAGTCGGTATCATCTGACTCAACCCAGATGCAACTGAGACAATCACATGTTGAGTCATCGAATTTAACCACTTATAGATATGAAAATTGTCCTTCCATGTGATCATGTGTGATCAAATATCTCTTCATCTTGAGTAACAAAGCTATAAATTTCTCCAAGATACTGAACGAATGTATATTGGTTCATTGACATACTCCGTTAAATGCAACCCATCGAACCACCTAGATATAGTTTGAAATTTCCATCACTTGTTATGCATATATATGTCATATACATATACGAGCCTCTTCAGTCATCTTCCTACTCATTTTTGATTCAAGTAATTGGGAGCCTAGCCTTTTTGCTTATAGAACATCAGTTTCTCTTCTTTAGAGTCACAATTTACTCCAACCTCCAAAAATCTTCTTTCTTTTTTAGCCTCTTCCTTTCATTCATTCGCAACCGTTGTCTGAACTCTGAAGTCTTTAATTTCCAAGTCTTGAAGAGCTGAGTCACTGGTTGAGATGGTTTCATCAAGTGGCTTCTTCAACCCGAATTTTTTCTCTGCACCAACTCAATAGGTTACCATAGTAAGATAGTATCCACGGCGTGCATAAGCAATTTTTGTTGTATGAAGCTCACATGGTATGTCAAATAATAATAAATAGATGGATTTTGATAAAACCATCTAAACACAAAAGTAGCATTGAGTAGCTTGGAAAGCTCCATAGTCTTGTTTGTTTTCAGAAAATAAGTTATCCTAGATGAACTTCAATGAAAGCCATATCAACTTTAACAGTCTAACAAGACAAAATTCTTGCAGGTAAAATTTAATTTTGCACTTGATCACCCAGTGATGGGATTGCTACAATTATCAGCAAGTAAGAATGGAAACTCTGTTTTGGTTCCATACGAGTACGGATCATGGCTGGTAAGTTTTGTATAGTCATTTTAATTTCGTTCTTCAAATTGAAAGAATTTGCTAATAAATTGTATATGATTCTTCATTAATCAAACTATTTAATACATCTTGAAATTTACTTTGTTGAATCATGATAAAAAAATCATTTTCTTTCTCATATCTAACATTAGTCCCAAGTTGACTAATTGTATTTTTCTGATTTGTTGTCACTCAGTTAAAACATCCTTCTTCCTTAGACACATTCGATCAAATGATGAGCATCGCAAAAGGGCGTAAGATAGTAGTGTTTTTGGATTATGATGGAACTCTCTCAAATATTGTGGACGACCCTGAAAAAGCTTTTATGACCAAAAAGGTGAATACTCTACACATAATTGTAGTGATTGTTGAAGTTTCTACTCATTGTGAGTTTATATCAAAAAGATCATTGGATATGCAAATAATTGATCATATTGATTAAAATCATGAAATAAATGACAGATGCGATTTGCAGTACAAGAAGTTGCCCGTTGTTTTCCCACTGCAGTTATAAGTGGAAGGGGCCGTGACAAGGTATTACTTACAACCAAGGTTTTAAAAAGCAACCGCAACCGTTACGTTATGTAACGCCGTTACATAACAGTTGTTATGGTTACTGCCACCCGTTATGGCCACTTTTGCAGTGTGATTGAGATTCACAGATGTGTCGACCGTAGCAGCTGCCGTAACGGCCTATTATGCACCGTTACGTAACGATTCTGAACTGCTTCTTTCGAAAAAAACCAAAAAAAAAACATACAAAAAAAAAAAAAACTGAAAATGGGGAAGGAGGGATAGAGAGAGAAGAGGAAAGATGGAGGAGTAAGGATAGAGAGAGAGAGAAGAGGGAAGCTGAAGAATATGTTTTCAGCTGCTATCACTCAATCCATTTGTTTGTGTCTATCTATATATTGTTTGAAAATAATAATAATAATATTAATAATAATAAGTGTGGTTATTATCTATTTGACTTGATTAAAATATATATATTTAAGTTCTTATTTATTCTCTTACTTTTGTCTTTGTTTATCTTATATATAATAGTTAGTAATTGATTTTTTTTGTAAAATATCTAGAAAACACAACACCTATAATATTAATACATATTTTACACATGTCAATTTTTTTGATTAGTTTATTTTATTTTTATTTACAGGTTATCCAAAAAGAGAATGAATATTCAAGTGATCCCAAAACAAACAAATCTATATAATTTATTTTTTAATTTTGATATGATTACATTAACATGTATAATTTATTTTTTAAAACTATTCAAGTTAAAATTTGCATATGCTTCTACAAGTATAATAATTAAAAGAATAATTTTACACATCTAAGTCCAATAAAAAAAAAATTTGGCACAAGCGTAATATAGATTTATGACATATAAAGTCATTAATTATTAAAATAAAATGTAAAAAACTCAGTTTATAGTGATTTAAAAATATGAAATATATTGAATCATACTTAAAAATTTACAAAAATTGATCAATATTTATTTTAAAACCTAATAAATATGATTATGGAAAAAAAAATATGCATATCGGTAAGATTTTTTCAAATTGTGTGAAAAATAAAAAAAATCACGGTTCTGATTACCGCAACCATTACGCTATGGCCTTTACACCCCACAACCGCAACCGCTTTTCAAACCTTACAACCAACAAAAAAGTTGCATACTCAATGTGTTATTACACAAGTAATGATATATCTAATTTTTTTCCCTCTTATAGGTGCATGACTTTGTAGAATTGGACAATGTTTACTATGCGGGAAGTCATGGGTTGGATATAGCAGCTCCATCGCAGTCTCCAAACGATGCAGATCCCAAGCATCAAACTAGGGTTGTTGACAGAAAGGTGGCTTTTACCTCTTTTAACTATGAAACTTTGTAGACGTGAAAAATTGATTCCAACATCTTTGGTGATATTAGTTCAAGTTTTATTATTTGAAATGAGTATTTCTTGAATCTGTTTCTGCCTTCAAAATTGTTGCATAGAGTTCTAATCAACTAAAATTGACGTAAGTAGAAAATAATTATATAGAATTACAACTACAACCAAACTATTGCCTTAGTTTAATTAATACCATAACGTGGTTTCTGTTTTGTAGGGTAATGAAGTAGTTCTCTTCCAACCCGCGAAGAAGTACTTGCCTGCAATTCAAAAGGTAGAAAGATTTGTTTGCATTTTAATACAAATTGACCATTTAACATCTCTTTTTCCTCTACATTTATGTAATATTTCATGTTCTTCTAGCAGATTTTTATTGCATTGAATGAGAAGACTAGAAGTATAAGAGGCATCTTGATTGAACACAATAAATTCTGTATTTCCGTACATTTCAGACACGTTCGTGATGAGGTACATATTGTTCATGCTTCTAACCGGAGAAAGGGGGAAAAAATTCAATTTAATGTTTAGCCCATGGTGATACTAAAATATCGGGTGGTTGGAATCAATCTTTCAGGACTTTTGCACCCTTGAAAAGCTGGTAAATTCTGTAATGGGAGAATACAAAGAGTTCCGTATATCAAAGGGCAAAAAGGTATTTTGCATATCTTATTCATACATTCTTTATAGTTGTCCAAATAGTAACAATGAATTTATAATTTTCACAAGCCACTTGGGATTTGATTTTTTGGGGTAATTTCACAGGTTTTTGAGATACGCCCTGATATGGAATGGGATAAAGGTCATGCTTTAAATTATTTACTCGACGCCCTAGGATTCGGCTCTTCTAGTGATGTCCTCCCGTTGTACATTGGAGATGATCGAACAGATGAAGATGCATTTAAGGTATCAATCTTTTTATTACCTATTACAGTGGCACGAGATCCTCAGCCATCAAAATTTTTTGTTGCCAATTGCAGTAGATAGCCATTTTCATATCCTCTATTGTTTCATGTTTGATCATTGATTGCCGTTAAATATCACTGGATGAATTTTACCTATTTTTCCCACCTCCTATATGAATCCACACAAAATACAGTGGGAAGGTGGAGGAAAAAACCCGGTTAAATTCAAAAAACCTTTTCCTTGGTTCTTTTTATTTTTTTATTTTTTTTTCTCTCTCCCTCAGTAGTGTTACTAAAGTTATGTTTTATTTGTACTTGGGTATCTTACAGGCTATAAGGGAGAGGGGAGATGGTTATCCTATTGTTGTTTCATCAAGTCCGAAGGACACCATGGCTTTATACTCTCTCAGGAACCCATTGGAAGTCGAGAAATTCTTGTTACGTTTGGTCAGGTGGACAAAAAATTCTTCTTCGGCCAAGTTTGGTGCCTAAATTTAGAGGTCAAAAACCCAAATTGGTGCCCATAAACGTAGCCTATGCATATTCTAACACGAGTTGGCAGTCCTGTGGTGTTAATGTTACAAGGAAAATAACATAGCTAGTTTTCTTTTCTTTTTCCTTTGCAAAATAGGGTAGTGTCCCTCTATAATTTGATCCAACATGACATTGCAAGTGAAACTTGATGTCTACAAATCAGGAGCAGATGATATATTGAGAGAAACGGAGCATCAGAGAACTGTAGAAAAATTTCAAGAGGTTGAGATACGGGTCTTGATATTTGTTCTCTCTCTCTGTCAACATAGTGTAAATTTTTTTAAGTGGGAAACAGGGTGTAATGTATATTTGAAGAATATATGGTTACATCCTAAATGAAGGCGTCATTTTTATTCATATGTGGGTGAAATATTCGCAACATTTTGAAATTTCTTTTCTTTATATGCTAGTTTCTTTTTATTATTTAATTTTAAATTAGAGTAAATTGGTGATAAATTCAATTTAGAAAGTGTCTAAGGCATTAAGTTCAATGGAAATTTTTTTTGTTGATGAAAAGTCCACCATTTATAAAATAATTTGATAAAAGTTCTTATGTTAGTTTTGAAAGATATTTTGTTTTCAATTTTACTCTTTAATTTATCTGTTGACTTTTTTTTATCTGTGGACTTTCGTTAACTATCTGTTCAAAATTTTTCCTTATCTGTTGAAAATTTTTCTTATCTGTTCAAAGAATTCCCCTTCTTGTTCAAATTTTTTACCTTTATCTGTTCAAACATACTATTCAAATTTTTCACTTATCTGTTTAAAACTATCTGTTCAATTTTTTATCTGTGCAAATTTTAAACATATTTTATTATCTGTTCAAATCTCTATTCTCCTTCTAGCTCTCTATCCATCATCCTTATCTGTTCAACACAAACAAAAACAAAAAAATTTATGTTTCTTCATCATCATCATCACCACCATCAACAACAACAACAACAACAATAACAACAACAACAACAAAAACAGCACACACATCTATTATCTGTACAAAATGAAACTACCTTAGGTAGATCATCAACAAACAACAACAAAAATAAATAAATTAACAAGAAGAGCCTTTTCAAAAGTTGAACATATAAGGGGAAAAAAATACATATTCCACTACCACATTACACACAAAATTTAAACAGATCTGAAGCCGATTTCTAGGAGCTCAATCAGATTGCCATCGTGAAACCCTTTTCTAACAAAGATCAAGACCAAATTTGGATTTGTACAAGTGCACGCGCGCACACATAGTACTAAAATAAACGAAGCCCTAACCCTACAAGCGAAGGAAACTGAAGATAAATAGTTCAAAATCCAATGCAATACGATCAGCGAGACTGATTTCATATAAGGATTAGCTTCAAATCTTTGTTTTCCCTTCCGTTTTGCCAAGAAAGTGAAGAAAAACAGAACACAACAAGAGTTGAAAACTTCAGTTGCAAGGTTGAACAGCAGAGCACATAAATTACAATTTTCCCCCTTTTTCACTTCAACTTTCTCAACAACCAAACAACAGGTTTTATCACCGCATTTTGCCCAAAAAAACATCATAATTCCGGGAAAAAAACACAAATCCAGCATCTTCTCACCTGTATCATGACGTTTCCCTCAGAAATTATCCACATGCACCATTAAAATAGCTGAACCAAAGCTCACAATCGAGAGAGAGAGAGAGAGAGAGAGAGAGAGAGTAAAAAAATAACTAATATAGCTTCAGAAACCTTGTTCACGCACTTCAACCTACCCCATTTATCATCATCATCATCTTCGAGGCCGTTATCTAAAAAATACACACACATACAGATCTCAGATCTGAGGCCGCTGTGGCAGGGGAGAACAGAGAGAGATGGAGGGTTATATACATATATACATACACACAGATCTGTGTGTATAGTCGGAGCCGTGCACCATTGTGTCAGAGTGACAACGGCGGAGGAGGGAGATCGAAGATGACATTGGCGACGATGGAAGGACTGCGACCATCGGCGACGACAGAGAGCACAAAGAGAGAGAGAGACGATGGAGAGTAGATCGCGCGACGCCGTTGAGACGACGGTGAGATCGGACGTGAGATGCCTGGCGGTGAGATTGCGGGGCCATTTCCCTAAATAAGCCAAATTATCAATTCAATTCCCAACCTAAGTCTAGTTTTGAAAGAATTCTCAAAATAGGTTAAAACATGGTTTACAACCACGTTTTCAACATCTCTGTACTTGTAACAACCCTCACTCTACCCTAGTCATGCTTGCATATATTACATGATCTTGTCTTGATATATTGCATCTTTGCAAACCTTGATTTGTCTTGCTTAAGTATTTCTCGCATGTTTTGCACCTGGCTTGGTGTGAGTTTAGCCGGGGTCATCTTCAGTCTAGAATTATCTTGGAACCACTTTGTTTGACCTCCACCTTCGCCCTGACATATTGGCCGAGATGTCATTATCTAGGCCGAGGAGTTCATCACCAAGGCCGAGATGTGTATTATCTAGGCCGAGATGTTACCTTTGCACCTAAGTGATCTTGTCCTGGAGTGGTATGACCTAGACCAAGGTGTGGCACATCTAGGCCAAGGTGTGGCACACCTTAGTCAAGTGTTGTCCTTCCTAGTCGAGATCATTGTTCCCCTACTTGCCGATGTCTTGTTCTTAGCCGAGATCATTACCCGCCGGAGTGCCTATACCATCTTGCTTGTTGAACACACTTTGCCATAGTCTTGTCTTTTCACTCAGCCACATTTTTGAGGAGGACCAACTCGGTAGTGCCACGTGTCCCAGCTGAGTGTTAAGTTAGCCAGCAGACCTAGAAATGTATCATTTGCTATATGTCTTTGTTTGTGAGGAGAGAGAAGCTCTAAAAGGAGAAGAAGAAGTTTTAGAGTGAGAGAGTGGGCTTTCGAGCTTGATTCCTAGAGATCAAACCGTTGGATTCGTGTATTGAGGTTCGATTCTTAATCTACTCTTGTTGTTCTTATTGATCATCTAGCTGCATAGCATGATTGAACCTGATCTGCAAGCCATGCATCGATTTAAAGTTTGGTTTTAGAAAGAGAAAATAGTGTTCATGTGTTCTTGAAGAAAAAGCCTTGGTTGATCCAAAAACTTGCATCGAGATTCATGTTTTTGTGTTTGTTTTCATGAAATCTTCGAATATGGGTACCCAAGTCCATGTTTTTGAATTCATATCATGAAATCTCAGATTTTGTAATGATAAGGTATGACCTTTGCATCCATGTTCTTCATGTTCTTTAAGAAAAGGGAACCCAGTTTTTCCCGACTTCATTTCCTTGGATGTGGCCATCGGGACCACACCTCGGCAAGGAGGTGTGGGACCTCGGCCAAGATCTGGTTGGTGCCCATTATGTTTTCCCGAGATGAGGAACAGTGTTTTGTTTTGGATCGCCTTATTAAGGGATGCCGAGATCATCTGTATGCATGTGAAACTTGTTTGAAAGTGCATTCAACAGACTTTGCCATGTGCTTGTAGGACTCGGATCCTTGCCTATAGCCCCGACGTCCGAAGAACTATGTGAGTGGTATTTTTAATAAAGTTATGTTATTAAGTTTTGATAAAGTTTTGCCTTGCTTGTTTTGGAAAAGTATTTTGTGAAGCATGAATGATGATCCCTATTTTGTATATCAAGTATTAGTCTTGTTTTGAATCACAATCTTGAAAAGTCCGTACATGCTAGGGGACTATAAGCAATTGTAGCACAATCTTGAAAAGTCCGTACGTGCTAGGGGACTATAAGCAATTGTAGCACAATCTTGAAAAGTCCGTACGTGCTAGGGGACTATAAGCATTTGTAGCACAATCTTGAAAAGTCCGTACGTGCTAGGGGACTATAAGCATTTGTAGCACAATCTTGAAAAGTCCGTACGTGCTAGGGGACTATAAGCATTTGTAGCACAATCTTGAAAAGTCCGTACGTGCTAGGGGACTATAAGCATTTGTAGCACAATCTTGAAAAGTCCGTACGTGCTAGGGGACTATAAGCATTTGTAGCACAATCTTGAAAAGTCCGTACGTGCTAGGGGACTATAAGCATTTGTAGCACAACCTTTGAAAGTCCGTACGTGCTAGGGGACTATAAGCATTTGTAGCACAACCTTTGAAAGTCCGTACGTGCTAGGGGACTATAAGCATTTGTAGCACAACCTTTGAAAGTCCGTACGTGCTAGGGGACTATAAGCATTTGTAGCACAACCTTTGAAAGTCCGTACGTGCTAGGGGACTATAAGCATTTGTAGCACAACCTTTGAAAGATGGCTGAGAAGCCTTTTGGTCAAGATGTATTTTTGTACTTCATTTGGTTGTATTAAAGCTATATAAGAATGTATGCCATTCCATTTAACTTATGAACAGCTCTCATGGACTAATTAAATTTGTATTTATTGCTTCCGCACTTGTTAGCCCCATATGTAATACTCTGATTATGTGTGAAATTTTGAAAGTTGGCCTTCGGTAATCTCGGATTACTGGCCATCATGGCACCATTCTACTAGAGGCAGAATGGGGTCGTGACAGTACTTGTCCCGCGTGAAAATTGGAAAGTCTTAAAAGCGTGGTTACAAAACGCGCTTTTAATTAATAAAGCGTGGTTATAAAAGGCGCTTTTAATTTAAAAAAATTTCCTTTGAAATTGCTGTTCTGAACCACACTTTTAACTTAAATTTTTTTTCTTCTGAAAGCGCGGTTGTGAACCACGCTTTTAACCAAAAAAAAATTTCTTCTGAAATCGTTGTTATGAACCACGCTTTTTGAAAAAAAAATTTCTTGTGAAAGCGTGTTTGTGAACCACGCTTTTTACATAAATACACCAATTATTTAGTTTCAGTTTAACTGAACTCTGAACTGAACTCTGAAGATGAAATTTTTTTTTTTTGGTTTTTTTTTTTTGTTTTTGTTGTCATTTTTTTGGGGATAATGTATTTCAGAATAATTTTTTGGGTTAAAATTGTTTTACTAAAACCGTTCTTATGTTAATTTCTTTTCTTTTCTTTTGTCTTTATTTTGGGTTAGAATGTGTAATTCAGAATTTTTTTTTGACTTTACTAAAGTAAATTTATTTTGTTTTTTCTTGTGTTTGTTTTGGGTTATAAGGTGATAATGTAATTCATAAATTTTTTGAGCTTTAGTAAAGCTGTTTTAATGTAAATTTTTTTTTATTTTATTTTCTCTTTGTTTTGGGTTAGAAGGTGTTATTCAGTAATTTGTTTGAGCTTTAATAAAGCCGTTTTCATTTAAATATATATATTTTTTCTTTTTTCTTTGTTTTGAGTTAGAAGGTGATAATGTAATTTAGAAATTTCTTTTCGCTTTACTAAAACCGTTTTCATGTAAAGTTTTTTATTTTTTATTTTTTTC